GCGCGCGCGCGGGGCGCGGCCCCGCGGGCGCGCGGACGTCGGCGCCGGCGCCCCAGCCGCCGCTCGCGGCGAGGATCGTCGGGTGGGGCGACGCGGCGACGTCGGCCGTCGGCGCGGCCGCGGCGGGCGCGGGCGCGGGCGCGGGCCGCGCCACGCGCTCCGCGGAGTCCCAGTTGAACTCCGCGCCGCAGGCGCAGGACATGTGCGCGCAGCCCTCGGAGCCTGTGCCGAAATCAACCGCTGGTCGGGTTATTCCCGCCAAACTTCGAACCTCTCGAGCTCGGTCGAATCGAAGTCGAGCCCTCGTTGAGGTCTCGAAGCACGACGGAAGATCTCGCGTTGAAACGGTCTCATACGCTCACATTCAAGTCGGGTGGAAGATTGGAGTTCGGCCCGGCTCGGAGCGGTAGATGAGCACGCGGCACTCCGGGCACGCGCGCGTGCTGTCGCCCGCCCAGGCCAGGAACGCGAGGGTGCCGTCCTCGTCGCCCGCGGCGCCGCCGGGCCCGCCCGCGGCCTGGAGCTCGCGGAGCCGCTCCTCGAAGCTCTGGCGCGCGCGGCTCAGGTGCTTCTCGTAGGCCTCGGGCGCGAGCAGCAGCTCGAGCGTCTCGCGGGGCAGCGGCGTGCGGCACGTCGGCGTCGGGCACCGCGCGTAGATGGCGCCGTCGCGGCTCTGGATCGCGAGCCAGCGCGCCGCGCAGGGCGCGCAGAGGTCGCAGGCCGACGGCGCCGCCGGCGCCGCGCCGCCGCGGCGCGGCGGCGGCGGCGGCCGCGGCGGCTCCGCGTAGGCCATCGCCAGGGCGTGGTACGGCAGCTGGCGGTGGAGCGCGATCTTGTCGCGCGCGGCCAGCACGTCGCCGCAGGCGACGCACTCGAAGGTCGGCCGCGACTTGCAGGCCTCGGCCCGCGCCGGGTCGAGCACGCTCGCGAGCGCGGCGACGTCGAGGCGCGCGGCGCACTCGGGCGCGGGGCACGCGACGTCCGCCGCGCCGGACTCGAAGGCCGCCGCGGCGACGTCGAGGGCGCAGCTCTCGCAGGCGCAGTGCGCGCAGCCCCGGGCCGCGCCGCCCGCGCCGAGCGGGCCAGCGCGCTGGAGCGCGCCGCGCCCCCCCCACTCGCGGCCGCCCGCGGGCGGCGCCGCGCGGCGGAGCCGCGCGGCGCCGGTGCCGTTCGCGGGCGCCGCGAGGGGGTGCTCCAGCGCGGACGCGCGCGCCTCGGCGGCGGCCGCGGGCGCGCGCGCGGCGCCGGCGGCGCCGGGCCCGGCGAGCGCCGCGAGGCCCACGCCGGCGCCCGGCGCCCGCGGCGGGTCCGGGAGCCCGGCGAGGACGGGCGCCGGATCGGCGCCGAGGGGCGACCGCGGCGGCGCGGCGCGCTGGCGGTCGCGGTCGCGCGCGGCGACGCGGCGCCGCGCGCGCAGCGCGTGGAGCGCGGACGGCGCGCGCGACCGGCGCACCCAGGGCGCGAGGCCGCCCGTGCGCAGCTCGATGAGCCCCGTCGCCGGCTTGCGGCAGACGCAGCACGCCGTGCAGTGCTGCTCCATGACGTGCTGCGCCATGAGCGCCCACTGGGCCCCAAAGGGGCCGTCGCCGTCCGTCGGTTCCGTCAGACCGCAGATCCCGCAGCAGATGCCCTGCGGCAGGCGCGTCAGGGAATTCGTCGCCACGGACCGCCCGTGCCACCCGCTGGCCATGGCGGGAGCGGGGGCTGCCGTGCGTTTTGGGAGAGCACGCCGAGGGGCTGCGCAAGAAAACTTGGGCGTTTTTTTGGTGAAGATTAGCAACCGAGGTTGACCTGCAACGTTGCCGAGTGCAGCGGCTTTAACGGGGCGAGGTGGGCTGCCTCCCCCCCCGCCGGCGGGGCACCATGCCCGTCAAGGCGGACTACAAGCGGGCGAAGAAGGTGTCCGTGCTCGAGGGCCTCGAGGAGATGCGCGCCGAGGCCGCGAAGAAGGCGGCGGCGGAGGCGGCGCTGCCCAAGTTCAAGAAGTTCGACCCCCAGTACGCCGAGGCGTCCCTCGTGCCCGAGCTGCGCGCGACGCGGCCGCCGAAGGAGGGCGGCGGCGACGAGGCGCCGGCGTGGATGTCGCAGGCGCTCAACGCGAAGCGGAAGCGGCGGCGCCGGGGCTCGAAGGCGCGCGGGCCCGACGCGCTCCCCGCGGACTACGCGGCGCCGCCGCCGGGCGGCGGCGCCGCGGCCGCGGGCGGCGACGACGCGTCGTTGGCCAGCGGGGCGTCCGCCGGCGGCCCGCGCGGGCCCGACCTCGCCGCGGGCCTGCGGCCCGTGGAGCCCGGCGCGCACCTCGAGCTCGCGGAGCGCAAGGCCGTCGGCAACAAGGACTGGGGCCCGTCGGTCTTCGAGCGCGACTCGCCGCGGGCGCGGGCGACGCTGCGGACCTTCCTCTGCGACTTCCTCGTCGACGACGCCCGGGGCAACGTGCGCGTGCGCAAGGACATCGACCTCCGGGCCTACGCGCGCGAGGCGATGCGCGAGGTCACGAACGCGACGGTGCAGGAGATCTGCGTCATGCAGCCGGCGATGACGTCGCTGGACGTGACGGACTGCCACCTCGTCACCGACGCCGCGCTCTGGGCCGTGAGCCGCCACTGCAAGGAGCTGCGGACGCTCGTCGCGTCGGGCTGCGGCCAGATCACGCGCGTCGGCCTCCGCGCGATGACGCTGGGCTGCCCCCTCGTGCAGCGCCTCGAGCTGAGCCGCTGCGCGTCCCTCGACGACCCGGCGCTGTCGGCCATCGCCGCGGGCTTCCCCCACCTCGTGTCGCTGACCGTGTCCGAGTGCGACCACATCACGGACGACGGCCTCGCGGTCTTGGCGTCGGGCTGCCGCGACCTCGAGCACGTCGACGTGTCGGGCTGCCCGCGCCTCGGCGAGTTCGGCGACCGGGCGCTGCTGGCCCTGGGCCGCTTCTGCGGGCGCCTCGAGCGCCTCGACATGTTCGGCTGCGCGCACGTGCAGGACGCGGGCATCATCGCCGTCGCGCGCGGCTGCGGCGGTCTGGAGAAGCTGCGGCTCACGGGCTGCCGCGAGCTCACGGGCGGCGCGCTGGCGGCGCTGGCGCGCCAGTGCCCGAACCTCGTGGACCTGTCCATCGCGGGCTGCGAGCGCATCAAGGACGAGGACCTCTGCAAGCTCGTGGGCCAGAGCGGCGCCGTGGACCTCCAGCGGTCCGGCGGGCCCCACTGGCAGGGCGGCCGCGCGGCGGCCTTCGGGGGCGGCGAGCGCCACGCCGTCGGAAACCTCGCGAGGCACCACCGCGTCGCGCGGGGCGTGACGTCGCTGACGAAGCTCGACGTGTCCGCGTGCGGCGACGTCCGCGCGCGCGGCCTCCGGGCCATCGCGGAAAAGTGCACGGAGCTGCGCGACCTGACGCTCAAGGGCTGCGCGGCCGTCGGCGACGACTCGTGCTACGGCCTCGCGGAGCTCGGGAAGCGCCTGCGGCACCTCGACCTCTCGGACTGCCCGCTCGTCACGGAGCGGGGCGTCGCGGCGATCGGCCGATCCGTGACGGGCCTGGCGCGGCTCAACGTGACGGGCTGCCGCGCCGTCGGGCGGCGCTTCTTGCTGGATCTGATCGACGAGCTCCAGTTCTGCGATTTAGCGAGGGACTACGTGGGCTACCAGCCCAAGCTCGACGCGAACGCGCTCCGGCTCGAGGCGGAGCGCGTCGCGCGGAACACGCGCGCGGCCATCACGGTCCAGGCGCTCTGGCGCGGCGCGTTGCGGCGCATCGGTTTAGGCGCCTACCGGCGCCGCGTCTACGTCGAGCGCTGCGTGACGCGGCTGCAGGCCGCGTACCGCGCGTGCGTCTGGCGCCGCCGCGTCGCCGCGGCGACGCTCCAGGACCGCGAGGCCAAGGCCGCGACGTGGTTCAGTAGCGCCTGGCGCGCCTGCAAGGCGCGGCGCGTCATCGCGGGCTGGCGCGCGGAGGCGCGCGAGGCCGTCGCGCTCACGCGCGGCGCCGTCGTCGTCCAGCGCCACGTCCGCGGCCACCGCGCGAAGCAGCGCATCGAGGCCTTCCGGAGCGCCGTCGAGGCGAAGAAGCTCGACGCCGCGCGCATCCGCGCGCGCTACGAGCTCAAGGCCGCCGTGCTCCAGGCCGCGTGGCGCGGCCACATGGCGCGGACGTTGGTGGATCGGATCCGCGGCGAGCTCCGCGACGCGGCCGCGCGCGCGGCGCTCCGCGAGACGTCCGCGCTCGCCATCGAGAGCTGCTGGCGGGCGACGCGGGGAAGGTTGCGCGCCGCGGAGGCGCGCGCGGCGCGCGTCGCGGCGATCCACCGCTGGCGCCGCGCGCGCCACATCGAGGCCTTCGTGCGCGGCTGCTGGGGGCGCATGATCGCCGCGGACATCCGCGCGCAGCGTTTGCTCGAGATCAAGCGCCTCGCGGCGACGTCGATCCAGGCGGCCTGGCGCGCGTCGCGCGCGCGCTACCTCGCGACGATGGCCGCGAGCCTGGACGCGCTGCGGGCCATGGAGAAGATCGCCGTCGTCCGCATCCAGGCCTGCGCGCGGGCCATGTTCGCGAAGCAGCGCGCCAACGCGCTCCGCGTCGCGCGCGCCGACGCCGTGCGCGAGGCCGCGGCGTCGCTGACGATCCAGCGCGTGCTCCGGGGCCACTACGGCCGCACGAGTTGGGAGGTGCAGCGCCGGCTCATCGCGCTCCAGGACAACGCGCGGCCCCTCTACGCGCGGCTCACGGTGCTCCGCGACGAGAGCCGCCAGGCCGCCGAGGACCGCGACCTCGCCGTCGCGGCGCACGAGAAGTACGCCAAGGAGACGCGCGAGGTCGAGGCGGAGCTCCGCGAGGTGTCGCGCGTGGGGCACCCGACCTGGGACACGGCGCGCATCACGGGCGGCTACCCGCAGCGCTACGTCACGTCCTACCTCAAGGCGCGCCTCGTCGAGGTGCTCAGCGACCGGCGCGCGCGCACGAAGGAGTACGAGGACCTCGCGCGCGAGCGCACGATATCCGCGCGCGACAAGGAGCGCCTGATCCGCGAGGTCCGCCGCGAGCTCGCGCCCCTCGCCGACGGCCTGGCGGACCGCACGCGGCGCGAGCGCGTCGCGCGCCTGCGGAAGAAGGTGCGCCTCAACCGCAAGAGCGCGACGGCGCTCCAGGCGCTCGCGCGCGGCGGCATCTACCGCGACGCGATGGCGCGGCTCCTCCAGTGCGGGCCCGACCAGTGGGAGATCCACGGCTGCGAGTTGAGCGGCGAGGACTACTACTTCAACGCCATCACGCGCATCTCGCGCTGGACGAAGCCCGTCGAGCTCGACTTCGACATCGTCCCGGACGCGCGCGCGCGCCTCGTGCGGGGGCGCCTGGGCGAGATCGCCAAGGCCGCGGAGGAGAACTACGGCCAGCTCGGGTTTCCCGACGACATCGAGACCGTCGAGACGTCCCAGGAGCCCTACGACGCGCGGCGGCCGCCGCCGAGCAAGCACCTGCACTAACGCGGACTAGCCTCGTTGGCCAGATTTCGCCCGGCGCGCTGTCGTACGCGTGCGGCGAGCAAGTACGTTCGTTGACGGCGGTGTTTCCGATTTGTTGAAGTTTTGAGCTCAGTCTGGTCTGGGCCACAATCGCGAGCTTCTTCAGGTGCCCGCAGCCGACGTCGAGATGGGCAAGAAGAGCAAGAACCCGAAGAAGAGCACTAAAGGCAAAGAGAAGAAGCCGGCGAAAGCGGTCGTGCCGCCGCCGCCGCCGGTCAAGCACCATTGGGAGATTCCGCTGCCGGCGCTCGACGCCGACGACGACGCGCAGGCGGCATACCTCGAGAAGGTCAACGACGTGCTCAAGCGGGACTACGACCCGCCGCTCGCGAACCCCGACAGCAAGCTCTGGGTGTCCTCGGAGGCGTACGCGGCGCTCGGCGGCGACGACGACCGCGACGACGAGGCGCGGGAGCGGTGGGCGGAGGCGAACGAGCAGATCGGCGACAAGTTCCTGGCCCGGGGCGAGCTCGACGACGCGACGCCTGGAAGGACGCGCTCCGCTGCCTGCGCGCGCTCCATCCGCCCCTGGACGCGCGGCGGCTCCCCTGGCGGGCGGCGAGCGCGCTCCACGCGAAGATCGCGCGCGCGACGCTCAAGGGCCTCAAGGAGCGATTCTGGGAGTGCGACGGGCCCGAGGACTTCCAGTACTTCGGCGAGGAGAGCGGGTGGCACGCGCGCGTCGCCGGCCTGCTCGACCCGGCGTTCCGCGAGCCCTTCGAGCTCCAGGCCGCGTGCAAGCGCCTGGTCTTGGACGAGGCGACGGCCGCCGGGTGGGAGCAGACGATCGACTGCCTCGAGGCCATGCGCCGGGACATCGAGGCGAAGGCGCAGCCGCTGCACGCGCCGCCGGCCGCGGCGCTCGCGGGCGCCGGCGACGCGGCCGCGGCGCGCGCGGCCGCTGCGGAGTGGCTCTTCCCGCTGCGCCTGTGCTGCTTCCAGCTGAAGCAGGTCGACGAGGAGACGCTGGGCTTCTGGCAGGCGAACGACGCGGCGAAGACCTGGGCGGAGCTCGACGACGCGCACCAGGGCCTCGAGCGGCCCGCGTCCGCCTGGACGCTCCAGGAGCGGGCGCTCCTCGCGCAGCTCCGCGCGCCGTCGGCGGCCGCGCGCGCCGCGGCCCTCGAGGCGGCGGCGGCCAAGGGCGTCGCGCCGCCGCCGCGGCTCGTCGAGGTGTCCGCGAGCCTCGTGGATCTGGAGAACGGCGGCGGCGGCAAGCCGGGCGGGGGCCAGTGGCTGACGCTCTCCGTCAAGGTGCTGACGATCGCCCCCGAGGGCATGTCGGCCGCGGCCCGCCGGGGCGGCGACGCGGAGGACCTGCGGCCGGTGCCCGACGGGTGCCGGCGCTTCCAGATCTGCCAGAAGACCGTCGTCAAGGTCGCGAAGAACGGCAGCGAGCGCCTCGTCGGCCCGGACGACGGCCGCGCGGCCGAGGGATCGCCGAACGCCGTCGAGGCCGCGCGCCGGCGCATCGAGGACTTCGTCGCCGAGTGCGCGAGTCGCGGCTACACGGTCGACAACCTCATGATGGGCCAGGGCCTGCTCGGCCTCGTCGGCGTCGAGGGCGTCGCGGGCTCGGGCTACGGCAGCCGGGACCCGGACCGCTTCGGCGGCACCCTCGTCATCCCCGCGACGCCGTGGCTGCAGAAGCAGTCCAAGGCCGACATGGCGGCGATGGTCGACGACGTCGAGGGCGCCATGTCGCGGGCGATGCTCGAGGCCATGACCGGCGGCCGCGCGCCGGCCGAGCCCGACGAGGAGGACATCGCGCTGGCGCACGCCAACGCGCAACGGGGCTCGTCCAGCTAAAGTTGGACTAGTTATTGAAGGGGATGCGCGCCCGACTGCGTTCTTCCGGGCAGGCCCCCGAGGCAAGCCCGCAAAGTTGCGTTCAAGCTTCCCGCTCGCTGAAGAATTGCCACTAAACATATGGCGCAGCGCTCGCGCTAGTCGTGAGACGCGATGCAGCGCTCCGGCGCGGCGAGCAGGCGCTTCCGGCAGGGCCAGCTGCCGGTGATCGACCGCGACCGCAAGCCGCGCGAGTCCGTGAACTGTTTGCTGCCCGTGTGCATCTTCTTCTGCGCGGGCCTGCTCATCGGCCTCGGCCAGGGCCAGGAGGCGCTGCCCGCAGTTGTCGAGCCGCCGCCGCGCGTCGTCGCGGCGCCGAACGCGGCGTCCGTGGCGGCGGAGAAGGCGCACGTGCACCACCAGCACGTCGCCGCGGGAAATTTTGTCTCGGAGGTCGACGACGACGACGAGGTGCAGGCGAGCATCCGCAAGTCCGCGGACGTGCTGCGGTCGCTCGACGTGCGCCTCATGGCGCAGCCGGACCCGGACGAGACGCCCGCGCTGCGCGGCGCCGCGCCCGCCGCGCCCGCCGCGCCCGCCGCGCCCGCCGCGCCCGCCGCGCCCGCCGCGCCCGCCGCGGCGGACGCCGCGGCGGAGGTCGACGCGCGGGTCTACGCGTTCTACTACGCGTGGTACCAGAGCCCCGCCGTCGACGGTCGCTGGGCCCACTGGAACCACGAGCACCTGCCGCACTGGGACGCGGCCGTGCGGCGGCGCTACCCGCCCTTCACGCACGACCCGGACCGAAACGACGTCGGCGCGGCGTTCTTCCCGCGGCTCGGCGCGTACTCGAGCGCCGACGGCGCGGTCATCGACGCCCACTTCGCCCAGATGGCCGCGGCGCGCGTCGGCGTCGCCGTCGTGTCCTGGTACCCGCCGGGCAAGCGCGACCCGAACGGGCCCGAGGTCGACGGCCTGGTCGGCCGCCTCCTCGACGCGGCCCTCGCGCGCGGCCTCGCGCTCTGCCTCCACCTCGAGCCCTGGGAGGGCCGCACGGCCGCCGCGCAGCTCGCGGACGTCGCCTACGCCGTCGAGCGCTACGGCGGGCACGCCGCGTACCACCGCGTCGACGGCCGACCCGCGTTCTTCGCCTACGACTCGTACCAGATCGCCGCCGCGGACTGGCGGGCGGCGCGGCGGGCGGCGGACGACGGCGCCTGGCTCGTCGGCCTCGTGCTCGACGCGGCGCAGCTCGACGCCTACGTCGGCAACGGCGGCTTCGACGCGGCCTACTCGTACTTTGGCGCCGCGCGGTTCACCCAGGCGTCGACGCCCGACCGGTGGCCGGCGCTCGTCGCCGCCGCCGCGCGGCGCGGCGGGAGCTTCGTGCCCTGCGTGAGCCCGGGCTACGACGACACGCGCGTGCGGCCCTGGAACGGCGCGAACGCGAGGAGCCGCGACGGCGGCGCGTACTACGACGACGAGTGGCGCGCGGCGGTCGCGAGCGGCGCGCGCCGCGTCGCCGTGACGTCCTTCAACGAGTGGCACGAGGGCACGCAGATCGAGGCCGCGGTGCCCGCGGCGCCGGACCGGGACGGCGTCCCGGCCTACGCGGACTACGCGCCCGGCGGCGCCGACTTCTACCTCGCGAGGACGGCGGCCTGGGTGGCCACGTTCGCCGCGGCGCGCGGCGGCACGTAAATTTTGGATGTTGCTTAGGCGCCTCAGTCTTTTTTCGGCGGCTCGTCGTCCTCGTCGTCGGACCGGTTGTCCTCCGCGCCGCCGCCGGAGACGAGCATCTTGATGGCGACCTTGATGATGAGGAAGAACCAGTAGCACTGGAGGCCGTAGAGCGTCCAGAGCAGGCCGACGCAGGTCCACTCGGGGACGCCCTTGGGGAAGTAGCGCGTCGCCTCGACGTGCGCGGACCAGCAGACGTAGGGGTACATGGAGATGCGCGTGACGAGGAAGAAGACGGCGAGGAGCTCGAAGACGCGGTCCGCGCAGAAGGTGCAGACCCTCGCGAGGCCCCGGTCGCGGCGCTCGCGCGCGTCGGCGACGTACTTGAACATCTTCGCGACGTGCAGCGGCACGTCCGCGGGGTCCAGGAGCACCATGACGACGCAGCCGATGCGGTTCCAGCCGTGGAGGTAGGAGATGGCGACGACGGCCACCGTGACGACGTGGTGGAGCTGCATCTCCACAAAGTCCTTGCGCTTCGGCTCCAGAAGCACGCTCAGCGCGCCCTGCACGTAGCGCGCGCCGTAGAGGAGGTAGTAGCAGCGCAGGTCGTCGCGCATGGCCGCGTGGGACCCGGAGCTGAAGCCGATCCACCAGTGCTTCGACGGCCAGATCCACGGCTGCCGCGGCACGATGCGCGCGCCTAAAAGCGTGAACGACCCGTAGATGAGGCACTCCATGGCCGCCTGGCTGAACTTCGTCACCTTGGCGCGGAAGGCCCGCGACCGCCCACCGCCCAGGATCAGCGTCGCGAAGGGCTTGACGACGACGAGGCGCAGGCCCCAGTTGAGCGCGAAGAGCAGCACCGTGAAGACGGCGGCGACGGCGGCGTCGACCGCGACGTCCGGCTCCTTGGTTTTCTGCTCCGCCTCGGGCGTCACGAAGGACGTCAAGAGGACGAGCACCTCGCTCTTGACGGCGTCGAGCATCGCTTTCGACGCCGTGCGCGGGCGCGTACGCGCGGTCAGAGCGCCAAAAAAGCTCCACAGGCGCCGGCGGCGACTCGTACCCGAGCATCGACGAGCGGCACGTCCGACATCATCGTCGACGCGTCGACCCGCCTCGCCGCCAGGGTCGAGTCGCCGCCGATCTGCCGGTCCGCGACGTCGCGCGCGGCCACGGAATCGTCGCGCTCGCGCGACACGCGCGCGACCGCGGCCAAAGCCTCGCCGAGCTCGACCTCGACGCTTTCGGGCTGCTCGACGCACAACACGCACCGATCCCTGCGCGTCGCGGCGCAGCCATGCGCGCGCCGTCGCCGGAGGACTTCGCGTCGCCGGCCGAAGCCGTGCGCAAGCACCTCGACGCGGTGGCGTCGGCGGGCCCGCGCATCGTGCGCGCCGGCAAGCTGCTGCAGCGGTCGGGCAAGTCGCGGTGGCGCGAGCGCCAGTGGGAGCTCGTGGACAGCGGCGAGCTCAAGCAGCGGCCGCGCGTCCTCGTCGAGGGCCGCCGCGGCGGCGCGACGTGGCACCTGGACGCGCGGTGCGCGGTGCGGCCCGTCGAGGCCACGGGCGCCAACGAGCGGCCGCCGCGGCGCCTCTTCGCCTTCACCGTGGAGTGGCCCGAGGACGCGCCGTCGCGCACGCGGCCCGGCCGGCGGCCGCGCGGCGCGGGCCGCCGCGACGGCTCCGAGAGCGAGAACGAGTCGAGCGACGGCGACGACGACGACGCGGCCGCGCCGGAGCCGCGGGGCCGGCGGACCTACGGCCGGGGCCTGCTGGGCGCCGGCGCGGCGTCGGCGGCCGTCACCGCGGGCGGCGTCGCCGTCGGCGTCGTCACGTTCGGCGTCGGCCTCATCCCCTACGCGGCGTTCGTGGGCGCGCTCGCGTCGTCGGGCGCGTACCTGCGCCTGAGCAAGGCCCCGCCGCCGCCGCGGTCGCTGACCCTCGCCTGCGGCGACGAGGGCCTCGCCGGGCGCTGGCGCGCCGCGGTCCAGGCGACGGTCGACGGCCTCGCGCCCGCGAGGCGCGCCGCGCCCGCGGGCGACGACGCGGCGACGTCGCGGTCCGCGGCGCTCCGCCGCGGCCGCGCGCACGTCGTGAGCCGGTGCGCGGCGACGGGCGCGAGCGTCTGCGGCGCCGCCGTCGACGCGCCGCCGCTCCGCGCGCTCGTCGCGCTCCTCGGGGGCGAGAAGCAGGCCTGGGCGCGCCGCGGCGGCGTCGTGAGGTCCGTGCGGCAGCTGCGGCGCGAGGACGACCTGAGCGACGTCGCCGCCCTCGACCTCGCGCCTTTGGCGCCGCCGGCGCGGAGCTGCGCCGGCGCCGCGCGCGCGGCGTGGCTCGCGGTCCGCTCGCGCGACTGGCGCCGGCTGCCCGGGGACCTCTGGGCCCTGGCCTACGCGCTCGCGCTCGCCCTGGCGGCCGTCGTCGCCGGGCTGCCCGTCGTCGCGCCCTGGCTCGCGCCGCTGGCGGCCGGGCTGCCGCGCGCGCTCGCGGTGGCGCCGCGGACGCTCGTCGTGAAGCGCGTCTGGCGCGTCGACGACGACGGCGCGTTCCTCGTGTCCCTGGCCACGGACGACGCCCTCGTCGCCGCGGGCGCCGAGGCGACGCCGGGCGCGTCGCTCCGCGCCGTCTTCGCCGTGGCGCCGGCGCTGGACGGCGGCGACGCGTGCCGGCTCGAGGCGCGCGTGCTCCTCGACGGCGGCGGCGCGCTCTCGGGCCGCTCGCGCGCGGCGCGCGCGCTCAACGGCCTCGTCGCCGACGCCCTCGCGTCGGCCGTCGTCGACCTCGCCGAGGCGCTCGACGACGGCGCCGCGGCGCCGCCGCCGCCGCCGCCGCCGCCGCCGGCCGCGGCCGCCGCGCCGAGGCCGCCGGCGTCGCTCGACGACCGCCACGCGGCGCTCGTCGCCGCGCGGTCGCGCCTCGAGCTCCGCGTCGTCCAGGCGTCGGGCGCGGACCGGCGCGCCGCGGCGCGGGACCTGCAGCAGGTGCTCCAGGAGCTCAACGGCCTCGCGCGCGACGGCGCGACGCCCGGCGCCGGCGCCGCCGCGCCGCCGCCGCCCGAGGCCGCCGCGGACGACCTCGACGACGCGTCCTGGGCCGTCGACTGGGACGACCCGGGCGAGGACCTCGCCGGCGCCGCGGCGGACCTCTGGCGCCGGCACCCAGCCGCGCGCGCCGAGGCCGAGGGCGGCGCGCGCGACGGGCCCATCGCGCGCGACGACGGCGACCACTGGACGCTGACGCCCGTCCGCGGCGCGGCGGCCCCTCAGGAGGAAGCGCCGCCGCAGCCGGCGGACGACGACGGCCTCTTCTACACGCTCGTCGGCGTCGTCGCCGTGACGGTCCTCGCGTGCCGCGCGGCGAGCTAGTAACTCGTGCGCGCGTCTTACCAGAGGCACGCGAAGCCGAGGGGGATCTCGACGCCCCAGCCGAGCGTGCCCATCTTCTTGAGGGGCGCGGACGCGGTCCCGCGGACGTGGCCGCCGCGGCAGCACGCCACGGCCGCGCGGTCCGCGGTCATGACGCAGCCCTTCCCCGCGGGCCCCGCCAAGTTTGCCGCGTCCATGGCCTCGGTGAGGAACGCCTCCATGGAGAGCACGTCCTGGAGCTCGTTGACGTCGCCGGGCCGCGCGACGTACTCGAGCGCGCCGCACTTGACGCACTTCGTCTCGCCGAGGAAGAGCCCCGGCGCGCCGAGCTCGCGCGCGAGCACGTTCTGGAGCTCGCAAGGGAGCACGCGCGTCTTCACCGCGCCCGAGAACGTCAGCGTTCGCTGTTTCCGGCCCACGAAGCGATCATCGGGGTCCTCCGGCTCCGTCACGACGTCCTCGCGCGTCCAGTAGAGCGACACGGCGTCGTTGGACCATGTCTCGCCTTCGCCGCCGCCGTCGTCGTCCGCGGCGTCGATGATCGCGTCGCCGCCCGTCGCGCGCGTCGGCCGCGCGGCGCGGTCGACGAGCGGCTTCGCGGGCGGTTTCGCGAGCGGTTTGTCCGCGGGCGCCGGCGCGACGGTCTTCTGCTTCTTGACCGGCTTGGCGTAGAGTTCCGGGTGCTCGAGGAAGTTAATGAGCTTCGCCTTGGTGCCCGTCTTCGGGAGGCCCTGGGCGGCGCAGGCGAGCTTGAGGTCGGCGAGGCTCATGGACGAGTACTCGACGGCATTCGACACACGTAGCGCACTCATCGTGGAGCGATGGGGCGGTCGACGCAACAAAGCAAAGCTTGAAACTGTCAACGCTTGCCACAAACACAGATAAACGACTCGCTCGACGCCCAGGCCTACGCATCGCTCGCCGCGGACGCGTGCCTCTGCGGGACCGCTTACGGGGGGCACTCGTGGGGACTTCCAAGGGCCGCTCTCATCGTCGCGGGGGGGGGGAAGGGTGGTGGTCGTGGTCTTGGTCTTGGTCTTGGCCGCGCGCTCAGACGTCGCGGATCATGTCGATGGGGTCGTCGGACGTGCCGACGCCGCGCCAGGCCTCGAGCTCGAGCGCGCGCTCGTTGTAGAAGCCGCGCTGCTTGCCGGCGTTGCGGCTCGACCGCCGCGGCGCGGAGAGGCGCTCGATCTTGACCTTCTTGAGGCGCTTCGGCAGCAGGCCGTGCGGCGGCGTCTCGGCGGCCGACTTGCGCTTCCGGCCGCGGCCGGCCGTCGCGGGCGCGGGCGCCGGCTCCTCCTCCTCGGGCGCCTCGGCGGCCTCGGCCTGCTCGGCGGCCTCGGCCTCGGCGGCGGCGGCCTTGTCGGCCTTGGCCTTGGCCGCGGCTTCGGCCTTGGCTTTTTTCTTCGCCTCGGCCTCGGCCTTCTTCTTCGCGGCCGCGTCGGCCTTCGCGCGCTTCGCGGCGTCTTTCTTCGCGGCCTCGGTCTCGGCGTCCGCGGCGGCCTGGGCGTCGGCGGCGGCCTTGGCGTCGGCCGCGGCCTTCGCCTCGGCGTCCGCGGCGGCCTTGGCTTCCGCGGCGGCCTTCGCGTCGGCGGCCTTGGCGTCGGCCGCGGCTTTGGCGTCGGCCACGGCTTTGGCGTCGGCCGCGGCCTTGGCCTGCGCCGCGGCCTTGGCCTCGGCGTCCGCGGCGGCCTTGGCCTCGGCGGCGGCTTTGGCGTCGGCCTCGGCCCGCGCGCGCTCCGCCTCGCGCTTCGCGGCCGCCTCGGCCTCGGCCTTGGCGCGCGCGGCCGCCCGCTCGCGCTCCGCGGCGGCGTCGCGGCGCGCCTTCTGCTCGCGCTCGCGCGCCTCCTGCTCGCGCGCCTCCTTCTCGCGCGCCGCCTTCTCGCGCGCCGCCATGAGCTCGGCGCGGGCCTTGGCGTCGGCCGCGGCCTTGGCCTTGGCCGCGGCGTCGGCTTTCGCCTTGGCGTCCGCGGCGGCTTTGGCGTCCGCGGCGGCCTTGGCGTCGGCCGCGGCCTTGGCGTCGGCCGCGGCCTTGGCGTCCGCGGCGGCTTTGGCCTTGGCCTCGGCGGCCGCGCGCTCCCGCGCCTTCTCCTCGGCGCGGGCCTTGAAGGCCGCGGCGGCGCGCTCGCGCTCGTCGGCTTCGGC